ACGAAGGGGTGCAGAAGGCCATCTTCTACATCAGCAAGACACTCAGGGAGGCCGAGCTCAGGTACTCCCCCATTGAGAAGACGGTGCTGGCCATCGTCCATACGGTAAAGAAGCTGGGGCATTACTTCCAGGCCCATGCCGTCCATGTGCTGACCCAGCAGCCCCTTGGCGCGCTCATGAGGAGCCCCACTAGCTCCTCAAGGATGGTGAAGTGGGCGATCTTCCTCAGTGAATTTCAGATTGAAATCAAGCAAAGCCATCCATCAAAGGGCAAGCTTTGGCTGACTTCGTCACCGAATGCACGGCAAGGGAGACAGCCGCTACCGCCCCCGGGCCAGAGCCCGATGACACATGGATCTGTGAATGCATCAGGCAACTGATTTGCAACATTTTGTAAATGGATTATCTTATGCACCTCTTGCTCACATATATTTGATCTTGAGTCAATATGTGACAATCCTGTTGCATTCCATGTAATCTCTTTCGTACTTGGGTCTAATTTAGTATTTTCTCCCCCTAAGGTTGGGAATACTGTCTCATTGAAATGACAGTCAGCGAACCGTGCGGTGAATAACTCACCAGTCATCGGTTCAAGATATTTGATTATTGAGGGAGATTCAAATCCAACATAAATTCTCAACCTTCTTTGAGGACCCATTTTTGTACGATGAGGTGGAGCAATTGGAACATAAACAGCACAACCAAATATTTTAATGTGTGCTAAGTTTGGCTCGTGTCGAGTAACTAATTGCATTGGGGAATATTCATGATATGCACTCGGTCAAAGCCGAATTAAATTTGCTACATGTAAAATAGCATGTCCCCATGCTGATGAAGGTAAATTACACTTCATTAATAATGGTCTGGCGATTAATTGTAATCGTTTAATCAAAGATTCAGCAAGACCATTTTGTGTATGGACATGAGCAACAAGATGCTCCACATCAATCCCAATTGACATACAATAATCGTTAAATGTCTGGGATGTAAATTCTCCTGCATTGTCAAGTCGAATTCTCTTTATAGAATGATCCGGAAAATGAGCTCTTAATCGTATAATTTGAGCGAGGAGTTTAGAAAATGCTAAATTTCTAGTCGATAAAAGACTAACATGTGACCAACGTGTTGAAGCATCAATTAACACCATAAAATATCGAAATGGTCCACATGGTGGGGCTATCGTCCCACAAATATCTCCTTGAACCCTTATTAAAAATGCAGGTGTTTCAGTTGCAATTTTATTTATAGAAGGCCTGATGATCATTTTGCCAAAAGAACAGGCCTTACAAGGAAAATCACTTGATAATGGAACCCTGATATTCTTTAATGGGTGTCCAAGTGAAGTCTTAATGATTTTATGCATCATTACTTGGCTTGGGTGACCTAAACGGTCATGCTACAACATGAATGTTTTCTGATCATCTAACTTCGTGTTAGAAACCAAATTTATTTCGAATGGACTAATATATGTTAAATATAGTCCTGAGGAATATGCTGGCATTTTTTCACTGATATTTCGAATGTTTTCACAAAATGGCCAAAAAGTGCAAACGAAACATGAAAAAGTGAAAACTTTGCACTTTGCACGTTAAGAACACTTTTTATTTGAACCATCCCTTATATATATATATATATATAGACACACACACACACACTACCTCCGTCCCACTAAGATTGGGACAAGAGAATGTGACACAATTATTTATCAATTATTAAATTGATAAAGTTAGGATAAAGTAAAAATCATTTAGAGCCACACAAACTTTACCAAATTTGATATGAGACAATCATAGTAGGATTTCCCGAAAAGGTAAAATGAGACAATCTTAGCGGGACGGAGGGAGTATTTGTTTGTGATAATAATAATTTAAGAGTTGAACTATAGAATAACACAGATCAACTTTTCACCTCATAAAAAGTACTCCCTCCGTCCCTAAATGTTCTTCCGTAGTACAAATGGTATACGGATTAAGAAAGTGCGAATTGTGTGGTGGAGAGTTGTGAAGAGGAAAGAAAAATGTGTAAGAATGTGTAAGAATTGCTGTGAATCACAAATTCTTTGCTAAAAAGGGAAAGTAAAGTTCTTTTTGGAACGGACGAAAAGGGAAAATTGGAAGTTATTTTAGGGACGGAGGGAGTACAAAGTTGAAAGAAAATCATTATAATATGTCGTGTTTTTATACGGAGTATGTATAGATACAGATTAAATTAGTTGTTGTATGGCAGCTTCTTAATTTGATATTGCATTGTTTTTAGTTAACATTAATTTTTAGCTCGGAATTTAATTTGATGACTAGAACGGCATTGAACACGAGATGGCGTCCTAATGGGGCAACTCTGCAGGCTGACTGCAGTAGTGTAAGGTGTAGTGGGTGAAAGAAAAAGCTAAGTGTAGAAAAAGAGGATATACCAGATTGGTAGGTAGGTGTAAGTCAGTATATGGAATAAAGAAGAAGCAAAAAAATTGTTTCTCACAATACAACAGTTTAAAACATTGTACGCCATCATGGGAGTAAAAAAAAATGTTTCTTTCACACTGAACCGATATGATCTAAAACGGAAATTAGTTCAATTAAAAACACCACATTGATCCTAAAGGTGGAATCTCCCACCCCAGGAGCCCTCGTCCCGATCCGACGGGATGGTGAGGATGTTAGTCATGATGACTCAGTCAGCAGAGTGGCAGTAGACTCATATATCCGTGCGCACCGGAGGCCCAGCCTTATTTCAGGTTCTGTGACCTTCACCCGATCACTGCGGGGATTCGAACCTTGGTCTATTGATCCAAATCTCCTACGACTCGACCAACTGAGTTACCCGTGCAGGTCAATTTAAAACATCCTAAAGATTAGGTGTGAGCATTCTGTCCGTTGGTCAAATAAGAATGTTTTCTTTTGGACTGTTTTCAATCCCAGACCAGACCAGACTTAAATAGACTAGACCAGACGAGTAAACTTTAGTCCAAAAGAAAACATTTTAACTAAACGATCGCCGAATAGCTGGCCATTTTTTTCACACTAATAATCGACCGATAACGTCAAAATATTGGACCGGAAAACCGTAGTTTGGTTTCGATCGGTAACTGGATAACCGACAATAATGGATAATATTTTTTTTTTTGAAGCTCATTGTTTTCAAAAATCTGATTGCTTTAAATAAACTTATTAGAGAAAACAAGTAATACAAAAATGGACAAAAATAATGTGGGGTTTACGCTGCAAAATAAAATGAAATAATTGGTCATATATAAAATGTTTTTGCTTCATTGACCGAAAAAATAAGAACAAATGAATTACACTAATTCATAATAAAATTGGTTTCTTACACTACCGGTAGTTATTTCTTAAACATGAGTGTCATTTTATCTCTTTTCAGTCAACCACTAATAGTAAAAACATGAGATCTATTAGAATATGAGGGCTTTCCTTAGAGATATTATTGCATTCTAAAGTAAAACGCATAGATGGAAATGTGACTAAAGTTACTAATATCATACCATCATGTTCACAATAATATATAATTGAACACAATCATGCTTATTGAAGTTACTAGTGTAGTCATTAAAGTATTAAAAGTCACATTTATATGCATTATATTCATTTTGGTCATATATTTGACATTTTTCCTTAAGTAAAACATCATGGGATCATACAATACATGGAATACATACAAACTTTATACGGAGTAGACTATAATTTTTTTTTTGTTAACCGACCGATAAACGATTAAATAACTGACCATTAACTGAAAAATCGATAACTAACTTTTTTAATGTGTGATAATCGATGACCGACTGGCGACTGATCATCAATTTTTTCAATCGATTCAGGTATCAATTTTCAGTTTTTTTATTTTATCGATTATTTGCTCACCCCTACATACAATCACGTACTGAATTACTTGCATGTGTATAAAAACCCAAAACATACTACATGCTAGCATGTTTTATTACTTAACTCATTCTTTCCTTGCTTTGAAGAGTCTAACATTACCAGGAAAACCATTATATTTTAGGATTTAGGTAACAATAATTAGGATCAGAATCTACCATTCCCTAATTAGGATTTAGTGATGGTTGTTCGATCGATGGGCGGACAGTGCGCCAACAGCAACCAAACGTATAATATCGACATTAATGTCGGTTCTACCCAGCTGTTGGGATGGTGGCGGTAGTATATTTATGATTGTACAATCAATAGTACTTTAAGTAATTTGATATATTTAAGTCGTCCTAGGAGTGTTTGCCATATACTTTCAAAATCTCTTTAAGTCTTATGGCGTTACTGTGGGGCAGGAGGACATGCAGGGTTTAGTACTGCAGGTATCAAGTAGTGATAATGGTTTTTTGTTTAGGTCTATCACAATGGGACATGTAAAGAAAGCGGTCTTTGCAATGCGCCCTGACAAGGCACCAGGACCCGATAGGTTTAATCCGGGTTCTTTCCAACATTACTGAGAAACTGTGGGGTAGGATGTTTTTAATTATTGCAAAAATATTTTTGAGAGTGGTTTGCTTCCAAGTGGGTAATGGTACAAATTTGATTCTTATACCCAAAAAAGAGTGCCCCGAAAACATGGTAGACTGGAGACCTATTGCTTTATCTACAAAATTTTTGCTAAGATAATGGCAATCCGATTAAAATGATTCTTAAAGTACCTTATGTATCAAATACCCAAAGGGTGTCCATTCCGAGCAGACCTATAGTGGACAATATTATCACTAGTGCAAAATAAACATTCTATAACTAATATTCTATATGGGTTGGTTTAGAACCGTTATAGTATATTGACGCGGGGTCTTATTTACAATTAATTAAAGTTTCATCTTATTAAACGGGGCAAATTTATGAATTAAAAAACATATCAATAACGGTTTTGAAATATAACCGCTATAGAAAGTAAAACGGGGTCATATTCATAAATCTTAAAAAGTTTGATTCAACACGGGTATCATTTTGAATTAAAAAAACGTAGTGTCCATGTCTGTTCGAATCCGAACCCTTATAGAAGGTGTTTAATTTTTTTTCAACTCCCGCGTCTAGGTTAAGGGTTTTTAAAACATACTTCATCAAAAAAGCTTAGGGTTTTGAAACAAGACAAAGAGCCGCCCGTCGACTGATGTAAGGTTTCACGCAGCGAGGAAGCCTCCCAAGTCCGGACGATGCAACTCCCCCATTTTCACATCTCGCCATTATCCCACCTCCACGGTTTCTTGATTTGGGCCTTTCATCTCCTTCGCTCGGCGCTCGGGACTCGTTTTTCCAACCGGTAATTATCTTATCTTACATACTCTATATTTATATAGTTTTGCTATTCCTAATCGAATCGTGTCTATGTTTCTCTGGGATTTGTGTAATCGCATTTCATTTGTGAATATTCTGGTTATTGATGTTTTGTTTGTTATGTACTGTGACATAAGGAAACATGCGTATAATAGATTATTAGTTCCAGATCCTAATAATTAATTTGTTTGGCGTTTGTTTGGCATTTTTGTTTTCTTTTTTTGGACGCCGCTTGTTTGGCGTTTTTGTTTTCTGTTTTTTTAAGCTTGGGTCTTGGTTTGGGATGTTATGGGTCTAGTTTTGTTGGCTTTGTTTGGACGTAGCAGTGGACTGGAAAGGGACATGTCCTCTTGTTTTTCCTTTTTCTAGTTTTAGCAGGTTATGCATTGTTTGCAATTGCCTACTTTGGATCATTATGTGTTTTCAGGGATGTCCCACTGAGTAAATATATTTCTAACACCTGAAGCTTGAATAATTTTATTTCTATGGTTTTAGTTTCCTAATGACTATTAACTGTTTGTAAAAATGTCTAAATGAAAATTTGAAACTAATTTTTACTTCATGATAGTAGTGCATACGTGTCATGATATCACGAAGATATTTTACTTCATTTTGTTTCTATCTATTTTGATATTGCTGAAAGTGTTTCACCAGACTGAAAAGTATCTCTAGTTCTTTTTAGCAGTTTCACCAGACTCAATAGTAGGAGTGACAAAGATGATAATGATACTATCATCTGTTGGGAGCTTATTTTCAGATCTTTACAGTTTCTTACCAAGTTCGTAGAAGAGCCGAAAGCGATCTTTCCATTACCGATTGTATCTATTTCTAAGAAGAAATCTGCCTTTACTCCTGCAACATTGTTCCTGACCACGCTTTTACCAAATTTGACTCTACAGTGGCTTCCCAGTGAATGAATAAATCATCTATGCCCCCATTAGTTAGTTTTCCATGAAGTCAAACCATATCTACATGTGATGGATTATCACTGATAGTGATCCAAAACCTTGAATCTTTAAAATCCTCCATGATGCCGAACGAAACAATTTTTTCTGCCTTCTTGTGAACTATCCAAGTCTCTTGAGGGCATCCACTGAACCAATCATATGATAGAAGAAGAAAGAAAAAGATTCTCTGCTTTTCTTGAGCCTGCACTATTGCATTTTTCTGAAAAACACAATTGCTTAAGTCTCATTTAATGGCTTAATAATCCCCTTCACTATTGTACTATATTGATGTATAGTACAATTGTAGCCAATGTGAGGTTTTGTATTTTTTATTTGGAATAGTAATGGGTATAGATTGTCAATTTGTCAGCGAGCTTGTTTCTGCCATCTTTAGTTTCATAAAGGAGACTTTATTTATGGTTCTTGCAGCATCGGAGGCTCGTGAGCAGAGCACTGAAATGAAGGTCTTCGTCAACACCAGGAGCGGCAGAGAGCTCATCAAGGGCGGACTTGACCTCAGTGATTTTGCTACAGTTTCTGATCTGCAGGAGCAAATTCATAGACGGACCAAGAAATACTATTCATCCAGACAGAGAGTTGCTCTCCCTCTCGCGCGCGGCTCTACTCAGAAGCCAACTGTTCTTCACTATCAAAAGAGTCTAAAAGAGTATACTGATGGGAACACAAATGAGCTTACTGTAGTTTTCAAGGATCTGGGACCACAAGTCAAATACAGCACTCTCTTCTTCTGGGAGTACTAAATACCCCCGAAGGTGGGTAATCATTCCTTTAAAAAAGAAGATACAACTACGACATTATGCCCACGATGAAATAGTCATTTTTTTATTAGAGATTACAATTGCAATAAGTTTATACTAGTATTTGAACAGGTTCTTTGAGCTTTTCAAGTGTAATGCTTGAGTTGTACAGAATTGGGTCAGGGCGGCTTACATATTACTCATTAATTTCTAGACTATATATTTTTAGTATGAATTAGAAATTTTTATTATGTAGCAAATTTAAATAAAAACATTACATTTAAAAATATAAAATCGCTTATATGTGTGTGTGTGTGTGACACTAAATGAGATTTTTTTATAAAAAAAATCGACTTTCTATAACGGTTGGTGGTTTAACCCATATAAAAAGGATTTTATATGGGTATTACTCGACTGACACCGAAAACATTCGATAACGGTTAAATTTGTAACCGTTATAAAAAACATTCTATATGGGGTACGACTACCTGACACGAAAAGAGCCCGACTTTCTATATTGCTGGCTACTATGTCGTTACGGGAACCAACATAAAAAGTGTTTTTAACCCATATAAAAAGTGTTTTCTACACTATTGTATGTTAGCGATTGAAACTCATCACTACCTTAAAGGGATTGGAATTTTTATAAAACATGAGTCCTAATTTTGCATTATTTTACTCCTATTTAGGGAATTCTCTTTAGTTTTTTTGGGAGGAAATTCTCTTTAGTTTTAATTATAACCAAATGCTTTTAGTAAGAAAACTCTAAAAATTGAGTTTTTCCCTAGAATAATGCTAATTAAGTAAATAATTCCTAAAATACTAATGGGTTAAAAATAATTCTCAAAATTTTGTTGGGTTAATCGTGGTTAAGAAAAGCCGCCACTCGGAGTGGCGACTCTTCTCTTATAGCACATAATCCACCACTTGGAGTGACGACTCTTCTCTTACAGTACAAGTTCCTTAGCCCTTCTGGAGAGTTTTGATGTAGCAACGTTATATAGTTGGGGAAGTGCGACTTTACAATACCTATATCAGTAATTGTGTCGAAGTTGCCATATATTATAGCGTTGGTGAGATGGGTGGTTTTTTATTGCTCATACAGCTATGGTCGTGGGAGCACATTCATATTGGTAGAACAGTCATACTGCGATTTCATGGGATAGATGGTGGTCCTATTCATGATGCTTTGGATTTGCACAATCGATCTGTACTTGGACCACATCATGTCCGTGGCGAGGGCCCTTTGGGTCATAGGTACGTTTATGAAATTTGTTTAATTTTTTATTTTATGTATGCCGTACTGGAATCCATTTTATATTCTTGTACAATACTGTGTGTCATATCGCCTTTTGCTGATGTCACTCGCACGTCATCCGGTGCTAGATTAGGGTACTATCGCATCATATCATTAAATATAACTACTTTGTTTTACGTTTTTATAAAAAAAAATGATGTCATAGTATTTTGTATTATAGATGACTTTGATGCCATACACTCATCTGATTCTAGGACAGTTGCCTCCTGTTGGCCAAGAGCACACTGAGACATGGCGAGCACGTGTGTCCTTGATTTGTTTTGATGTAGTGGAGCATCACTTTTCTGATCGCGTACTACGACAGTTCGGGTTGCAGGAGATTATTCCCTTACCTTGTGATACTTCTTTGGACTTACAGAAGATCGACAGACGAGGGAAGCACACCGAAGATTGGGGAATGCACCATATTCACTATATCACCACGTAAGATGAGAGAGAGGTGTATAAATTGAACGTAGATGCTGCTTTCGTACTTGGTTTGGCTCAAGGAGGAGCCATGTTGAGGCATCTACGAGTCGGTTTGGAGAGTTGGTTTTGGCGATCGCCTTCCAGGTTAACGCATCTACGAGTAAGGAAGCGGAGCTCAAAGTCTTGGTTCAAGCAGCTGAGATGGTTATGGCGGATGGTTATGTTGATATTCAGGTAGAGACCGATGTGGTCCTTTCGTTATCCATGCTTAACCATTCAGGAAACTGCGCCGGATTACAAGATTTTAGAAGGAAAGCGTTGGATAGGGGTTTATCCTTCGGACATGTACTGAGGGAAGGAAACGGGCCGGCCCATCACTTAGCAGCCTATCCTATTCATCTGGCCCAGTGTATTTAATTTCATAAGGTTACTCATCTACCTGCTTTGGTTAAAGTTAATTATTATGCTGATTATTTTGATATTCCTAGTTTACGTTCCTAATTATTGTATTTTAAATTTTGGGTCAGGTCTAGCCCCCCCAAAATTTCGTTTATTTTTTCTGTTAATTTTTTCTTTCATGTACTTTTCCGGAGGAATGCCTCTGATGAGAGGTTTTGGTTTGGTCCCCCTCTCTTTTTGTATTTCCTCTCTTATTTAAATAAAATAACGGCAAATGTTCCCCGGGCATTTGCCCCACCGATTTTGGTGGTTTGCCTTCCGGGTTAAAAAAATAAAAAAAAAATGGACGAGACCCCATCAGTAGTCTCCAAAGTCTGTGCAGATTACATGCGATAGTATCACACCATCACACGGATGTTCATCTACCCACCAATCATTATCAACCCAGCTCAACCGCTCTTCATTAGAGAGTACACAATATAGTCACATGAATGACTTTATTTATTTATTTATTTATTTATTTATTTATTTATTCATTCATGTGTTTATCACTAATAATCATGATTTCATTAAAGACATGGGTTTTGCATATATACTATCCATGACAGAGCGACTGTTGTACTTTATGAGGGGGTATACGTACAAGGATATCATGAGGTATGCTCAGGCATTGCTGCACTGTGTGCTGATGTATTGGGTCGAGTAGACCATGGATATTTGGCCGCCTTTCAATATTCCACGACATCTACATCCACAGAAGGTCTTCCGAGGCACTATGACGTGATAGAGTGGTTCTTCAGCCTCGTAACCAGTGCAGACGCCCTCGATCTCAGCCACAAGCACATCCACATGAGCTTTATGAACATGAACTAGTTGATCAGATTATTTTTTGTAAACATTGGATTTATTATCAACTTTATGTGATATTTCTAGTATTGTGATCCAATGTAATTCAATGACTCATTTTGTGTCTCAGATATGTTTTGTTTCTAGTGCTCTATATTGACTATATATAGTAGTTGTTTGATGTTTCTGAGTTGACTCTACTATGCTAAGCAGGTTTTTGTGCTTTTTTGTTGAATAAGATTTGGTAAATAATGGGCATAAGAATCGTCACTCCAAGTGGCGGCTTTTGTGTTGTAAGAGAAGAGTCGTCACTTCGGGTGACGGCTTTTATATTGTAAGAGAAGAATCGTCACTTCAAGTGACGGCTTTTTTTAATCACGGTTTACCCTACAATATTTTAGGAGTTATTTTTAATTCAATAGTATTTTGGAAATTATTTTTTAATTAGCATTACTTCCGGAAAAATGATGCGGTATTTACCCGTTTGATCTACCTTTGGCAACTCTATTTCATTTATAGCCCAAGAAATTATTCTTTTCATCATTAAACTTTTCACTTTTCACTTTTATGTTTTCTATTTCAAAAGTAGCTTCTTACGGTTACGGAGAACTTAAACCTACCACCATATACCTTTCCAGCTTAATAATGTCCATACCCGCACGGGTAGCTCAGTTGGTTGAGTGGTGGGAAAATTGGACCAAGTGATCAAGGTTCGAAACCCGCAGCGGCCGTGTGGAGGTTACAGAACCTGAAATAAGGCTGGACCTCTGGTGCGCACGTGTATAAGGCCTATCACCACTTTGCTGACTGAGTCATCGTGTTTAACCTTCCCACCATCCTGTCGGGTCGGGGTGGAGGGCCTTGGGTTTGGGCGGCCAACCTTTTGGACCAAGCTTAATAATGTCCATTACCCTCCGATGTTCAACCACCGAACACAACACTTTACCCATCTTTTCCGTAGAAGGATCCGAATGATAATAGATACAACTCAAAGACGAAATCTCCGGCCTCATCCTCACTCAAACGTAGAGACTCATTGAATTCGTACATGACAAGGTTGGAGTATTTGCTACCGTGATGGCTCTGGAGGATGTAATTGCTGCTCTGGGAGCTTTAATTGCTGCTCCGGCAGCTGTAATTGCTGCTCCGCAGCTGAAATTGCTGCCCCATGAGCTGTAATTGGGAGGTCCGACGCTATTGATTCTTCCGACGTCAGTTTGGTGATCGATGGCGTGCCTAGCTATTCGAGACTATCCACGATTGAAGCTGTAAGGTCATTGGCGAACCATTATCTGAAGTCAAATTGTATCAATGTTTATTCAAGTCGGTTTCTTAATTATTCCTAAGGCATGAAGATCTCCTATGACACTACTCATCAAACTACCATATTTGAAGTCATATATAAAAATTCTCCACTCACATTGGTTGTGGATAAGATTAGTGCAAAACATAATTGATGTAATTCAAGAGAGTGTAGATATTAAATTCATAATTATGGAAAATGAGATAGATTATATTCAAATATTTGATGCTCAAATGCTTTATGGAAAGTACTTGTGCACAAATTTTACCAGTTAGAGTTGCATAGAGAATTCTGGTAAGAGGGAACCTATATTCTTCCCTGTATTTGTTCATGAGTTAGTTATAACTGCTTAAATGCTTTATGCCCTTATGAAATACAAAAATATGTATATTATTTGTGGGTTTTGATTTCTTGTTTATTGTTGCTTCCTTATGTTTTCCATTTTAGCTGGTTGATGTGTTAACATTATCAAATCAGTTTCTGTTTAATGCATTTCTGTAACACCCTGGCCCCCGCAGGACCTGAGGTAGTTACTCTAGACTTTCTCTGGACCTCTAGTACTGTCCCCACAAACCATCACTGGCCTTTTCCGCGCACTTTGTCTTCACTCGCGCGCGCCTTGAGAAAACTTCTCAGGGGGTCATCCATCCCAAGACTACTTTCGTGCAAGCACGCTTAACTTTGAAGTTCTTAGCTAATGAGGTCCCTTAAAAGGAGATGCACCTTGTTGATATGAGTAGTACTATTAATCCTCTTAAATTAATCTCGGGTATTACAATCACCCCCACTTAGGATCGCAACGTCCTCGTTGTGCCCTTAAACCAATCTCAACCAAACCCCAGAATCTTGCCCTGCTAAGTGCCCGCCCGATATCCAACGGGTCAACACACTGTTGCAGTGTTGCTCTGATACCACCTGTAACACTCCGGCCCCCACAGGACCCGAGGTAGTTACTCTAGACTTTCTCTGGACCTCTAGTACTGTGCCCACAAACCATCACTGGCCTTTTCCGCGCACTTTGTCCTCACTCGCGCGCGCCCTGAGAAACTTTTCAGGGGGTCATCCATCCCAAGACTACTTCCGTGCAAGCACGCTTAACTTTGAAGTTCTTAGCTAATGAGGTCCCTTAAAAGGAGATGCACCTTGTTGATATGAGTAGTACTATTAATTCTCTTAAATTAATCTACGGTATTACAATCACCCCCACTTAGGATCGCAATGTCCTCGTTGCGCCCTGTTGAAGGTAAATCCCGTAGATCCGAAAGCCCAACACGAACTTTGGATATATCAGGAATGGCTCAGAATCAAAGCGTATGAGAAAATATAAGATCTGAACTAACTAAAACTCGAAAGCTCACTTGTATTAATTAACCAATCTGATTACAAGGAATTTCCCGATCGGTAAGTCGGAAACTAATGCTTTAATACAAGAAGTAAGGGCAAATGATGTTATTCTAGAGCTTGAGTATTGAAATGCTAACCCTTACAATGACTTGAAACCTTCTATTTATACTAATGGAGAGCATGGGCTGCCTCTTGCTGATTGGCCGTTGTTCCACCGACTTGGTCATCCATGCTTCCACTTGCTGATGTCATAGTCTGGCATTAATTGCACCTGGCCACTTGCTGGTTGGCCGTTGCTCGAACGGGATGTTGGGCTGTACTGAAGATGCTGTCAAATTGGCCCAAGTATGATATATAGCCCGAACCTCGTTCAGTATATCTTCTTACTGGGCCAACCTTTATTTGGGCCGAACCTCGTTCGGTATGTCTCCTTACTGGATCTATTCATCATAGAGTGATGGGCCCGTTACTTGGGCCGGATATCTTGGGCCTTCCCGATCTGGGTATTGGGCCTCTAGGTCAATATCCCAACACAAGTCCCCCACTTCCGATGTCTCGAACGAAGTGAGTGCATTAGGAAGTATACTAATGTCATAATACCCCGAATGGCGATCGGGGTACAGAAGTAATCAGTTCCCCATGCTGCGATTTGACGGCTGCCGCTTCATTTCCTCATATTCATCATGATAATCGTCGTTTAGTCTTTTCATTAGACACGTGTTTAGCTTAAATGCTCCTAGTGACGTGTCGCTCTCTGATTGGTTCTCGACACGGCGGTTTTCAAGGCTATAAATTAGCCTTTAACTTCTCAATTCCGGGTTTCGACTCTGCAATTCTTTGGCCTTTGTTGTTTTCCTCTGCAATTTTCTCCCTGCTTCCTTTGCTCAGGTAATTTCCCAACTCCGGATTCCCTATCTTCATTTCTGGCTTCGATCGAGATGAGCCCCAAGGAGCATTCCTCTGGTTCGGAGATGGCCTTTCATGGAGATGACCGTGACGCCGCCATCGTAGATGTCATCACGGTTCCGTTTGCCGGTGTTTCTACTGAGACGGCGACGAATACCAGGGCTGAGGCGGAGGACCTCCCTAGCACTTCTTCTTCCTCCAGTGAGGATTCCGACGACACCAAATCTGAGGACGAAATAGCCTCCATGGCGGCCGGACGGCCCAACGATGTTCCTCGCCATACCCTTGACGTAAAATTGATTAGGGAGAGGCGGCAAAAATTGACCTCTCACAATAGGGCCGAAATTCCGGCCCTTATCCCTGACCCGGTGGATTTCCGTTTGCAAGCCGGGCTTCACCCAATGCGTCATAGGCCCGGAATGACCATAGTCCACTTTGACTCAATTAGGGCCGGCCTTAGATTTCCGCTACACCCCTTTTTCCTTTCTTTCTTCAATTTCTACGAAGTTGTACCGGCCCAGATTATGCCGAACTCTTATCGAGCAATGGTGGGTTTCATTTGTCGTTGCAAAGATGCCGGCACCCGACCAACCCTAGAACTCTTCCACCAATTCTTCAAAGTAGCCCCCCAACAAACCCATGGCTATCTGGCCACTAGTGCCCGAACGGGACACATCCTGTTCAAAGGAAACCCAACTTCGATCAAAGGGTGGAAAGACCTGTTTTTCTTCGTATCTATCCCGGACGGTCTAATTCCCCGCAAATGGAACGCCTTTCCCCGCAAAACCCCTGATCCTGTCCTCACTGAAGAAATCTACAAGGACGTGCTTGCTGTGGAGAAGGATAAATGCATGGACATCATGAATTATCTGACCCCCGAACGACTTGTAACAGCCGGGATAGGTACTGCCCGTTCTCTTGGGTTTACTTGTTTTGATAAACCAAGTGCCTTGG